GCTCTACTCGAATCACAATCCATTAAGTTCTGGTGCGTATTTCCCCATAAGCAAAAAAAAAGAAACAAGGAAAGAAAGCCAAGTTCGGCTGGGACCTTCAACGCGCAATGCAAGCAAAATTCACTACATCTTGACCAAATGAGGCCTGAAACATACAGAGAAGGTGAAGGAACGCCATTTCCTATCCGTCACAAGATTTTGTCTGCCTCGCAGCAACCCCTCTCTACCCAATTTACAGCAGGTGGGCAACACCGGCGACGAGAGCCAGACCAAGAACGGCGACGTTGACGCCCACGAATCCGGCGGCGCTGTCGTCGTTGCTGCTTGTGTCGTTACCAGAAGAGGTGTTGTTGCTTCCACCGTTGGCGTTCTTGTAGTTGCTGGTGCACTTGCTGCCGCTACCCTTGATCTTGTTGGCCGACTTCAGGGAGTCGAAGAACTTGCAGAATTCCTGGATATCGGTGGTTGAGCTGGCATTGGCGAGGCCGTTAACTGAGTTAAGCTTGGGCATGTCGATCCTATTTTCGAGTCAGTCTAAAGCTCTACTGCACGACGCAATTGTTTAGTCACTTACTCTTCGAAGCTGCCACCCAGGTACATGGTCTCAACAGACGTGAGGACGGGGAATCCATCGAGGATCTTGATCTCAGTGTTGTTCACAATCTTGAGATCACCGGTAACCTTGGTCAGGACAGGGAAAGAGACGTTGGTGAGCTTGGGGTTGTTGGTGAACGAAATGGCGTTCTTGACCTCGGTCAGGTTGGGGGCGGAGAAAGACTCGAGCTGGTCGTTGGCCTCGAACTTGACAGAGTTGGCGGTCTTGAGGGCAGGGACCTTCAGACTCTTGGCACTACCGATCTGAATCTCACCGGCCTTGGTGAGGTTGGTCATGGAGATCTCCATGTTCTCACCGTTGTCTCGGATGACGAGTTCGGTGGTGATGTTGGTGAGGGCAGAGTCGTACTGAGCCATCTGGGGGTTGTCGTTGATGGTAAGGCTGTCGACGGTAGAGAGCTTAAAGCTGCTCAGGTTGTCCAGATTAGTGTTAGTGATACGGACGGTGCTGGCTTTTGTGACACCCTCGGTACCGAAAACGAGGGACCGAAGTGCAGGTGCCTTGACAATTGCCACCTCGTTGATAGAGTCCAAGGAGCTGAATCTGATGGACTGAACTTGGTTGAGATCCTCGAGGGTGAAGCTGCCTCCAATTTGGGTGATGGTCGTGCTGGTGATTGAGATTAGGTTGGTAGCATTCTTGATCGTCAAGTCACCAGTGATCTTCTTAGGGCCGCTGATGTTGAGACTGCCGGCGAGCGAAGAATCGACAGTAACACTACCAGTGACGGTGTCGCAGGAGAGGGTAGCATCGGTGGTGGTGATCTTCCAGTCCTTGTCGCAATCGGCGGCTGTTCAACGAGTCAGTCTTGAAGTCACAAAACAAACATGATATTGATGAGATGCTACGTACCAGCAGCGAGGCTGGCCAAGCCGGCGAGACCCAGAATCGTGGTGGAACGCATTGTAGTCTAATTAAGGCGTGTTAGTGGAAAAATGAACACAGAAGTTGAAGCGCGGCCCAAGTTGTTGTACAAATGACCTTGGTGGAACGGGTGATTTGGAGCAACGGGTCAAGTGTGTGATTTAGCGAATTGGGCAAGAGACTGAAGTGAAGAGACGCTGATATGTCCGGTGAGGAATGGTAATGCTATGCAGCCATCCAAAAGGCTGGAATTTGGTGATTGGCAGTGATGATGTTGATGCTGATGTTGTTGATGATGATGATGGTGCTTCAAGGCATTGGCAAGTTCTGATGAAAGGGGAGAGCATGTGGGCTTTGCTTCGTTCCAGGTCGAGCCAGAGCCATCCAGCAGGCAGCATGCGCCACCACACAGAATGATGGTCTTCAGAGGCGGTTCGAGATGGTCGGAGCAGGTGGCAGGGACGTTGAGAGGGCAGGTGGATTGAATGTACGGGCAGTGGTGTGAAGAGCAAGCTGTCGTGGGCGGAAACAGCTACACACTACGCGGAATAGGAACTGCGAAGCTATCGTGACTGCGAGCAGATCCGGCATGAACGCACCTTCGTTAACGATTTTTCGACTCGAACTGTCGGGCTAAGGGGGAAGGCGGGTTCTGGGTGAAGGAGCGGGAATTAGGGAGACGCGGGCGTGGTTGTGGACGAGGAGAAACCTCAAATTATATGAAAACGAAGGATGAGAGGTGGAAGAAGATGGACTCTTCTAAGCCTGTAACGAGCGGCGCGAAGGGGAAAAGGGAGTGAGTGAAAGGACGAACCGGTGGACGATTACGAAGGTTGGAGGGTAGAAAAAGTCCTCAGGAGCATGGAGCGACACGACTGGGAGAACAAACAAGCTCTCCGGACGTGATTGAGAGTGGAGGACCAGCTCCTACCTCTAACCCGGACCCGCCCACCGGTGGCCAACTAGGGGGCGTCGACAGGGGTTGTCCAGGGGGCCAGCATGTATTAGGCCCGTCCACAGCGCTGATTCCTGGTCGATGATGGCGATTTGCAGGTCTGGGTACGTACCCGTGTACGAGTTTTTCTGCGCTCACCCCCGAGGCATGCACCAGGATACGACGGCTTGGCCTCCAGTGTTGTTGATATGTGCGAATCAGCAACGGTCAATCGCGGCAGGCTGCAGAGCCCAAGATGGTGGCGGACGCCATCCCAACCTTGTTGCCGCTGTCAAAGCAACCACTTGAGCCCTTTGGGAGCTCCCGTCCGCATTGCTCGGCAGCTGAGCTTGTCATTGTTCGCACGCTTCATTCGCATCGACCGAGAGAGCTCCGCGGCATCCATGGCACGGCACCGCTAATTACTACCTACCACATCATCTAGATGGAAGCCAAGTAATCTTGGGCGTGCATGCCCGCTGCAACGACGACAAGGACCACACAGTATTTGCAGCACAGTAGCTGCCCCGTAAGATAACAACGACGATAACAATGGCCAGGCACAAGGTTCGGACTACCCAACGCCAGTGCCTGACTCGAGGAGGGCGAGCCAGCAGCCGCGCTTTTGAGAATTAGCGATGCCGTCGATTGTAAATTGCTCTCTTGGTCATGTTGGATTGGGCATCCCAACAGGTCGACAGCTTTCGGGGATCTCGCTCGTCAAATTGAATACTACCTACATCAAGTCCATAATCATGCACGTGCCGTTTGGCGAGATTTGGCCCCATCTTCCGTCGTCCGATAGAGGTTTTGGCCGCTTTTCCTCATCCGTTAGGTGCCCTCCGCAAGGGGGGCCCCCCTTGGAGCAAGCCATCATGATATGTAACGGATCTAAGACGAAAAGCTCACACAGTACACCCCCTTTCCCGTTTCGCACGAACAAGCAGGTGCTTCGATGTGCTCATTGAAGCCCAGAGTCGCCAACCATCTAGGTAGGTAGGTAGTGCGTAGTGGTGTTGTGCATGGGAAATGTTCTTTATCGAGAAATGACGACCTGCCATTGCCATTCCTTGGCCAGACCAACAGCCTGCCTGTCCGTAATCTACCAGATACGGTGCCATGGAAGCCAGAAGGAAGGGCCAATTTGCCGATTCCGATCTCACGATTGCTTGCATGCATCAATGGCGCCAGTGTATTCCAGCAACGAGTATACTATGTAAACACAGCTATGACTGGATTTCTGCAGATTTATTTGTGTCTCAAGTTTGTTAAATGCAGACCTCACAGTATCGCGACCCGTCACTTGTAGGCCTCCTGGATGGCGTGGCGTTAGCTGTATGCCCACCCCCTTGCCTGTGTGAAACAGCGCGAGGGCGCAGACGATACTTTGGTTTCCTACTTATTTACCTACTGCACACATGTTTCTCTGGGCCTTGGAATGCGCACCATTGCTCCTGGCGGATACGCCGACGTCTCAACAAGCCTGGGTCGAGCAGAATGGCCCGGATCGCGGGAGGCAAAACAGGGCAGAAGAGGCAGGCCAGGACCTGCTTGGCAGACCACACGCTATGGATATTTATTAACTGATTATGATTACCAAGTTGTGTACTTGCTGGGACCTCAGCTCGGATGGACCAGGCTAATTGAATCCAAGCAAATAGTTCGCCCATTCACTATCAAGCGGTGCACATGCGGGGGTGAAGTCCTGTTTATGCTAAATGCTACCGAGATATAATGGGCTTTTCATCCGCCCATCGTAGATGGAAATAAGAATTCATGCTGACGAACAATTTCCGTGCCTTGGCCTCTCTCTTCCCCCACCATGTGGATTGCTTCAAATGTCTGACGTATCGCCGCGCCAACTACTCCGTAGTCCAGTCGTAGTTGCTACCCAAACAATGGCTTCTAGCTTGAGCCTGTTCCAGGGCAGCGATGAATCAATCATCGCCAGCGCGGCTAGCAGCAGGAATTGCCCGCACCACTACCTCTTTGGGTGGCAGTATTGGCCCATCTTCATTTCATGTGATTGGTGCTCCAAAACAGTGAATCTCGTACTGTAAGGAAAGCCAAGGCCTGACCCATACGGATCGGCGTCTTCCAAGGATCCGAGACTGCATATCGAGTGCTCCATGCAATGGCCCGCCTGTATCCAATGAAGTGGGAGAAGGAATCCCATCCTCAAACCACTAGCAGCTCCGGCTTCTACACCTGTGTACGTACGTGCATATGCGTACGTATGCCTGCTGATATTTTTACCTTCCTAGACTCCCCGTGAGTGTGAAGACGATGGGCCGAAATGGAAGTTTCATCATCTGGCCTGGAAGATGAGATGGCAGAAGCTTAAGTCTGGCCTCCCCTGGCGGCAGGCACAGAAGACCATATCATCGAATGACTCTTGGGCAGGTTGCCGAGAGACAGCGACGGAGCCCGTATCCCGATGACGCAGCATAGCTACCAATAGGCGCATATGTACGTAGCTGCTCCAAGTGCTCCAATTGGACCCATTGGAGCCGAGTTGTACTGTACACAGAGAAAAAACCTGTTTAAATTCTACATGATGTACATCTTTGGTGTTGTCTGATAAAATCACTCTAGAGTGCTGATATCAGTCTCCTCCACCCGCCACATATACCACATAAATAGGCTACGATATGGAGCAAACTGCTCTGAGAGCTCAGACATGTCTTTCTCAGACATGTACTTCCACTTGCCCCCTTTGGACTTGAGTTTGGCAACGTCTCTTCCGACGAAGGCAGCCATGCCTCGTTGCACTCCCAGGTCGCCGAGGGAGAACACATCCATCCGTTTAAGGGCGAAGCACGCAAACATCTCGACGGACCATCTCCCCAACCCCCTGACAGCGATGAGTTTCTCCAGCACTTCTTCATACGGCGCATCGTGCAGGAGCTGCGCGTTCAGGTCCCCATTCGCAAACTTCTCGGCCAACCCCTGAATGTATTCCGCCTTGCGCTGGGACAAGCCCGCCGTTCGCAGATGCTCGACCGAGCACGCCGCCACCTCGGACGGGAGCGGGAACCTCTTCTCTGTCTCCTCCCCGTCCTTGTGGAACAGTGCAACAAATTTAGCCTTGATTGACTTGGCTGCGGCCCCGGACACCTGCTGTGAGATGATGCCGCTCGTCAGGCTCTCGAACGGGTCGATCTTCTCAGCCAGGCCCTCGGGTGAGAAGACCCGGCAGTGGTGTTTCTCAACCAAGGGTCGCATCCGCTCATCCACCTTGATGAGGTGGGCGCATGCCTCTTCTAGAAGGTTTGCCGTCGTAGTCCTGACACTGGATGCCTTTGAAGGCGACACAAGCTCGATGTCTCGTGACGCAATAATTCTTGATGTTTCTGGCGACAGCAAGGTGGCGTTGGAAAGGTTTGGGTCTGCTATGCGTGTAACTGCGGCATTGCGGGGTTTCTTTCCCAACTTGTGATTCCCATTCTCGGTGATCAGTCCCACGGCCGTGGGTGTTGGTGTCACAGGCTCAACTGGCCGGATGCGCTTCTTCGCCGGAGTCGAAGGCGGTTCTGGCGAAGGCTTCCGCTTCTGTGAAGTTGTAGTTTGTGAGGTGGGTGGTGCTTGTACTCCGTTTCCCCGGCCACTTATGCGTGCGGATCTTCTGATTGTCATTGTTGCATAAATTGTCGAAATATCTTTGACTCGTGCAGTTCTTGTGTTAAGGGTCAGGCTGGTTCTCGCTGTCGTGAAGAGGTAAGACATGCAATGTGTTGTACGCAAGGCCAATGGTGGCCAAAGGCTAATTTAAACCCGCTTAAAGAAACAGGAGGTAGTGTAGCTCTGGTTTATCAATTTAATCCCATCAGATATGGTGCCTGGGTGATGATGTTGAGATGGAAAATCCGGGGTCATTCACGATCAATGGTAGAAGAAGCGCCTTGTAAGATGAGTGCACATTACACTATTGGGGCGATCAGCTCCGGGTTACTAATTGCCAAGGAGGTAAGACCATCATCTCCCCTTTCCTGATTCATATGCTCGTAAACCTGCCAAACCCGTCCAATTCTGCCAGCTGGTTTCAGCCCATGGATAGAAAAAGTGACATGTTTCTGGATGATGCTTGCGAGGCAATCTGGAGAGAATCTTGGTTCTCCGTCTTGGTAAAATTCCCCAGGCGTGATTTTCCTTCTGTCGTCGTCATCTATCTGGAGGAATAGCTATATGCAGCTCGTTATAGCGTTCCCCAATCGCTGGGTCGCCAACTGGGTGACATAAGAAATGAGACATCAAATTGGAGAGCAGCTACGAGCAGAGCAATTTCTGCAATGAGTAGATTCATACAACAATATAAATTAATAGTAATTAATCATTGATAGTGTATTAACTCTCGAATACTTGCTCTTAGTGCCTACCCAATAATATGGAAATACCCATTGTAGACTCGAGAATAATCAGGATAATGGTTGAGTGTATCGATTTTAATGTCACCCAGTTGGCCGCATCTGTTAATTGTGGGATGGGCCGCAAATATACCATTATTATATAATTAGAAACATGATTGGTTTGATTGCATGTGCTTGACCCATGCCCGGGGGCGATTGCAATACCTATCTCCTGTTCATATTTACACCGTTCCAACGGCGATGAACGAACATGTTGATAGGGCTATAGGGGGAGCGGCCATGGCGCCATAGGTGAATAATGATCAAGCTAGCTCATTAGGTATCAGGGGAAGAAGTGTCCAGCATGAATTTCGGGGTGAATGCTGGAATACAGCATGTACAGGCGCTAGCACAGAATACGGGGCAGCAGAGGTACCTGAACCAAATCCCCTGCTTCTTAGCACCAAAGCCGGCTGGGTCCAGGTTGTGCCGTTTCGGGCGCTGATTCGTGTCACTTTGCATCTTGGGATTTCGCCTGCTCCTGGCACATTGCTGCGTGCGTCCCTCTTGTTTAAAGCATCACTTTGCACGACAGCCGGCTTTCGTCGTATCACTGGAGCACCGAGTTTGCTAACCCCAACTCTTTTTTACCGTTCCGCAGTCCCTCGCTTATCGATCATAATCCCTTGGCGCCATCCAGATCCTTCCGCAGGCTCCTCAGTCTTTCAGCTGTCCAGGAGTTCGGTTTGGTACTTCGGTCCCTGGTCTACGCGACGCTGCCGTCGCACCCACAACTTACCTTCGAATCCCAATCATCTACCGGCCTTACAATCGATCGAATAGGGACGAAAGTCTTGGGTGACAAAAACCCATCACATCCGGCCTAAAACACAGGCGTAACGCTGGGCGTTGAAGTGGCGAAGGGTTGGCTGCCACCAGGCAAATCGACAATGCTTCTCCCCAAGGGTGGTCTGCAATGGAAGGCCGCGAGGGCTCGCCTTCCCCCTCTGCGGGCACTGTGGAACGTTGTAGCTAGAACGCGATTCATCCTGCTAGTTCTTGTTACCGGCATTGTCTTGCTCCTATGGCGTGGCATCAGGAGCTCTGCTGGTGAAATGCAAAGGTAAGACTGTCTCGCTGGATGACGGTATACCCTCGCTAACGGTGGACAGCTTCTACTGTTGGGGCCCATCAAAGCCACCAATGGAGATGTCCCAGAACGAGTACGCCCGTTGGAACGCGCATCTCCAGACCCCTCTTCTCTTCAACCATCACAAACCTCTGGAAGTCGATTCGAAAACCATCGAGCACGTCGACCTGAACAAGATCAAGTCCACCCGCACGGCGGTCATCAACGAGGAGAGGATTCTCATCGTAACCCCATTGAAGGATGCTGCTCCTTACTTGTCCAAGCATTTCGAACTCCTCGCCGAGCTCACGTATCCCCACCATCTGATTGACCTGGCCTTCCTGGTTTCCGATTCATCCGACGATACCCTCGCCGTTCTTGCCTCTGAGCTGGATCGAATTCAGCAGCGACCCGACCAGATTCCCTTCCGCTCCGCCATGATTGTTGAGAAAGACTTCGGCTTCGTCCTCAGCCAAAACGTCGAGTACAGACACTCGTTCGAGGCCCAGGGTCCACGACGCAAGATTATGGGCAAGGCTAGGAATTATCTTCTTTCTGCTGCGCTTAAGCCTGAGCACTCCTGGGTGTACTGGCGTGACGTTGATATCATTGATAGCCCCGCTGGAATCTTGGAGGACTTCATTGCTCACGACAAGGATATCATAGTTCCAAGTAGGTCCAAACTCGACAGACTTGATAAACCATTTACTAATCATCCGTCTACTTAGATGTATGGTTCCACCGCTACGAGAATGGCGTTGATATTGAAGGACGATGTAAGTTCCAGACGATCGTCTTCGATACATGAGCCTGGACTAACGAAATTGAAATAGTTGACTATAACTCTTGGGTTGAGTCTGATAAGGGTCTGAGACTGGCCGCTTCCCTTGAAAAGGACGTTGTGCTTGCTGAAGGTTAGTAATACATGCATCATCTTAGGGAGCAACTATTGACAGTCATTCAGGTTACAAGCAATATCAGACCGGCCGAACCTACATGGCTCTGATGGGTGATTGGAGAGAAAACAAGGATGAGGAACTTGAGCTTGACGGTATTGGCGGTGTCAACATTGTCGTCAAGGCGGATGTTCATCGATCAGGTATGTGTGCACTGCGGGCGCAGTAACAAGTGTGTTTTGCTAATAAGGACGATAGGCATCAACTTCCCCAGTTACGCTTTTGAAAACCAGGCCGAGACTGAAGGATTCGCCAAGATGGCCAAGCGCGCCGGATACTCAGTTGTTGGTCTCCCTAACTATGTCGTTTGGCATATCGACACGGCGGAGAAGAAGGGCAACATGGTTTAAGCCGCATAATGAGGTAGTTCCTCGATATCTGGAACTCCATCTCTTTTGCTCTTCCATGGGTCTGGTCGATACAAAGCTCGATGCGGAGCCGTGACGGTCAGCGCCCTGAACCTTTTATCGGGGATAGCGCCACCAACCGGGTCTACGCTCCTAAGCTTCGATCACGTGTCGACCTTGGTTGATACGCAGCGGATTGTTATTATCACGAATCTCTTTCATTGACCTACGACTGTACTTTTCCATCTCACAGGCCTCTATGAGCATGGGGGGCAGTATATCTTTAGCCTCGGGCTCGGAATGAATGCTCTTTTTTCTTCTTCTTTCTTTTTGTAAGATAGATTCTGGTTCTCATTACGGGGACTACGGGTGAGGAGCGAATTTGTGCTGGGAGTGTAAATGGGGTAAGGAACGGACCATCTGAGTTTGTCTTTTCTCTATCGGAGTTCAGAGGACGGTACATAATCTATAACACGGGCAGGAATCAGTGCTGTCTTGGAAGATGCGGCCCCAATGGTGATTTTTATGAATATAATTTTGTTGGGTTAGGATGGCTTTATCTTATTTCCCAAACACGGAGTCTATTGATATTAGCAGCTGGTCCTTATCTGTCACGAGGCGCTGGCTGGTGAGCATCCTGGTGGGGGTCACATGACTACGGCGAGTCTAATCCCAGTAAAGCGCTGCCTAACCCAATCACACCCTCGGCGGTGCCGTCATACTTGGCAACGTAATGGAATGAGACATCTACTTACGACTGACTGACCATACCCCCGGCTCAACGCTGGTAGCCTATTTGCTCGACAAACCGACCCGACAACAACCTGGGGGATTTAATCCATCGCTACAGCCTTCAAACATCGTGCGACTCGATCCTTAGCTTCTGCAGAGAGCCTGAGCGTGACCGCCCTCTACGCGATTTCCTCTTGACCCCACCATCAACCTAATCTCTGCCCCGATCACCACGGTGATCCATCCCGCACAGCTTCGGTTTCGGACGACATAATCAAACGCAGACTCCCGAGCGCTGAGATCTCTGCGGGCTTCCGAACCCCTATCCCTCCGCTACCCTTTTCGCGATCCAGACTTCGATACTATCAGGATGTGGGGTTGGTTTGGCGGTGCCGCCGCGCAGAAGCGCAAGGATGCACCCAAGAGTGCCATCCTCGACCTCCGGTCGCAGCTCGATATGCTCACGAAGCGCGAGAAGTTCCTCATGACGCAGATCGAGGACCAGGAGGCCATTGCTCGCAAGAACGTCACGACAAACAAGACCGGTAAGTTGGATGTGGCGGCCACCCCTTGGGCAGCCCTGGCATCGGTGTGAGGGGACGCTAGAGAACTGACCTGGATACTCTCAACAGCGGCCAAGGCAGCCCTGAGGCGGAAGAAGAACCACGAGTCTTCCCTCGAGCAGACGATTTCGCAGATAGGAACACTGGAGCAGCAGATCAACTCGATCGAATCGGCAAACATCAATAGGGAGACGCTGGCTGCCATGGAGAAGGCAAATGGCGCCATGAAGGAGATCTACCGGAACCTTACACCAGAGAAGGTGGACCAGACTATGTATGTTGGCGTCCTTGGACATTACGACCCTGCGGTCTTTTCTTTGATACTAACTGTGGTGCTCGTCTACAGGGAAGATTTGAGGGAACACAACGCTATGAGTGGGGAGATTGTCGCTTTAATGGCGAATTCAGGCGTCGGGGAGGCCATCGACGAAGACGAGCTGGACGAGGAGCTCGAATTGCTACAGCAGGAACAACTCGACGAGCAGATACTCAAGACCGGGAACGTCCCCGTATCAGATGCCGTTCACAAGCTGCCCACGGCTGCAAATACAGAGCGTAAGTGCCAGCATCCCGGCATAGTGATTACATAAGGCCCTCACTAACCAGACAAATCAAACAGTCGTAAAACAACCTGTGGAGGATGACGCAGAAGCGGAGCTGGAAAAGCTTCGTGCTGAGATGGCAATGTAAGAGCATAGCCGCCACCGCCACTCCCGACTTTCTCACGGCCCCATGGGTTACGTCGCTGCCAATACGCTCAACTTGGTGGTGGCATTTGTGGCACTGGACCAGTAGTCTTTGGAGGCACGGGAACGTCCTTGACCGACTCAGGGTATTTTTGACATATGGATGGAGGAGGCGGGGAGGGATTTATTTGGTGTTGGCGTCCAGGGTTGTTCTGTTTATTCATTCTCAATTGAGCATTGGAATCTCCATCTTGACTTCAGCCGGCAGCCGGCGTGCCGCGTGTTTTCCTGCTTCTGTTTCTCTCTTCTTCCTTTCTTGGTTAGAGCAGGATGAGCCCGAGGAGTTGTTGATGGGAAAGACATATCGATATATATCCCCGTACAGCAGACTCCGGAGTGAGAGCGGAGAAGTAACACGGCCGCAGAGATTAGAATCAAGTCTTCTTCTTCTTCATCTTTTTTTTTTCAATCATGTGCTGACAGAGAACTCTCCCCTGAAGCTGATACTAGTGCTGCACGTGCTAATTACGCTTGTTTGTGATGGCAAGGTTGGTTGCATCAGGGCGGCTAAACCTCCTGGCCTACTTTGATTGATAGCCCCCAAACGGAAATGGTCAATACTTTGGTTCTTAGCAGGGGGCTATGGAAAGTTGGAAAGTTTGTAGTGCCGGACACTTTGATCCTTGGAAGTTCCAACCACAAGTGAATGAGTCCATCTAGGGTTGTTTGATCGCCAGCGTGTCGAATACATGGCGATCGATAGAGCAGAACAGAGACGCCGGCGTCCACAACCCAGCAGCCATAGCCAACTTGTCAAACGCGGATAGGCAGAGCAGCAGTCCCGCGCCACTGCTTTCTTTTCCGTCGCATGAGGTGTTGGAGGCGGAAGGCGCAGACCGAGATCCATTGGATGGCGATGGCAGGTTGGGGTGGCCAGCCCCGTCACGTGCAGCTGATTGGATCGTTGTCGTTCTACGGCTGCTAAATGGGCTGCAGCAGAGAAAGACTACAGTAGAGAAAAGATGTCCCTGTCGGACGCTGCAAATCGGCCGACCGTACGAGACCGACCGCCTTCTCCATCTGCCAGCAGTGGGAAATATGACGGTTTTCTATTCTTGATGGCCAGCTCACGACTCAACCTCGCTCCTGGTGTGCCCGTCCGGCCCAACGCCTGGTGGAATAAACGGGGATGGCCGGGGGGATGCGCGCTTGGATGCACAGGCGGCTAGACGTGCAGTCCAAGTCCAATTCCAAGAGCGTGCAGCATCGTTCCGCGAATGGCAGCCAGTCAGGACGTGCATAACCGCCGGATGGTTCCCAACCAACCGTCCATCAGACCCGCTGCCACCAGATCCCTGTCCTGCCCACCGATATGGGAATGGACATGACATCGCTCGACCGATCTGCCTGCCCGGCCCTTGGTCCTGGGTCGTCCTTTTCCTTTGTCTTGCCGTGGGAGAGCACTCGGATAATGGCCCACCGCCGTGAAACCCAGTCTGCCCAAAGAGGCATCCAGCCAGCCTGCGAACGGCGGCTGGAGGTTAGTCTGGCCTGTCCTTGCATCCGCCTGCATTATAGTCTGGCGGCAGACGGCTGGTGAGCGCTTCGCTTGGCTGCCGGTCCCATCATAGTTGCGTGCCCATCACCCATCCCGTAGCGGTGGCCATGCTCTATCCTGCTCTGCTCTGATCTCCTCCACACCGTGGCGAGCCTAATAGCCGCCCGCTCCCTTCCAGCTTCCGTCATGACCGCTCGTCGTCCTCCTTTCATTTGCCTTGCGTGCTTCCCTTTTCTGTCCCCGGGTGTTCTGCGAACCTCGCTTTCTTTTGTCCCTCCTGTCTTTCGCCAGCGAGTTGTTTGCAACCGTCCATCCTTTTTGTCGGTCACTTCCTTTTCTCTTCTGGGGCTTCTTGTGTCTGCGTGTGAAACATGTTGGGATGCTGGCCGTCTCAGTTTGTTCCTTTCCTACTTTCTTAGGTATAGTCCTCTCCCATCCTCTCCCTTTCTCTTCCTTCTTCCTTCTGGCCTCCAAGAACTCGACCTTCTTGGCGGGTTGTAGTCTCATGAGCCTGCCATGCCCATATCGACAGACTCGCCGGCCATTCATCATGATATCGGCTGCCATGTTATGTGGTGGAATCCATTTGAGAGACGTCCCGTCTTCCACGGATGCTAACTCGTCTCGATTTCACTCTAGATGTTCTCTTTTATAATGGCCGCCGCGCCCAATCCTTACCTCTTATTACTTCTTTTAATTCAGTCCACCTTCCTCCACGCCCTCGGCCCCCAAGCCTCGAGCGATTACGATACGACTATCCCTAGCTGCGCTAGAGAATGCGTGAGCTCTTTTGTGAATGTGCATTATGGTAGCACCCTGTGTGCCACTCGCTCGCTACAATGTCTTTGTTCTGCCCGTGGCGCAACGCCTTATACGCTGGGCGAGGGCGCTCTGCAGTGCCTGGCAGCAGAAAAGAGAGTCGGCGGTTGTTCAGAATCCGTGGCAAGCGGTTAGTCGAATGTCCTCTGGAGGCTTGAATTTGGCCGGGGATATATATTATTCAATGGGCATGGGTAACTAACGGCTTGATTAGATGCCGCGATGGACGCTGTCTACCATATGTGTGATGGCCAGAAGAATGCCATTACTCCCACACACTCCGTCATTACCGCTTCCCTAATTCTTCCAACTGTCAGCGGAGAGTTCGTTCAGTTCCCTCCGGTTACAACAACTACTACATCAGAGTCGACTTCGACCACTTCCCGTCAGACCTTGCCAACGACCTTGATCACCGAGACGAAACCGTCTCCCACCAGTTGGTCATCTTCTGGACGCAGCTCTGGGAAGACTTCGTCGACATCTTCCGAGTCAAGCTCAAGCTCGAGTTCAGTCTCAGGCTCATCCTCAGCCACATCCTCTGAGACCTCAACGACCCAGGCTTCTTCGACTGCCTCGTCAACTGAAACCAACTCTGTTTCTACAACATCGTCCACTGGTGCTGCGGTGCCACCAACCGGGACTGGCACATCTGACGATGCAGGAGCTGGCGGTGGCTCTCCTTCTCTCACCAAAGCGCAAATCGCCGGCATCTCCGTTGGTGCCGCTGTTGCCGCAAGTTTCGTCATTGGCGCCGTGGTGTTGATTAGGTGTTACAGGCGGCGAGACCGTGCAGAAACACCTCCTCCTGAGCACTTCCACAATGACCAGGACCACCACAGAAGGATGAGCACATTTGCCTATCTGAGCGGCGGGAATGGCGGTTACGATGTCGATGACCGTCGCTGGGATCCCAATCCACCCCGCCCATCGCCCGGCATGAGCCAGATTCCTCACCCTCCTCCTTTCCGTCACCACCATGATACCCGACCCAATTTCCTATCAGCAGGGAGGGGAACAAGAACTCCTCCTCCTCCGGGTCACGAAATTAGAAAAGTGGAAAGCTCCGAATCTGCATTTTCCTCCCCAAGGTCAAGGCGCATGTCAAAACTGCTCCCTGCGAAACCTTCGATGGCCCCGTTTCTGGCCCCTTCTTATACCTCGCCCAGCCAGCTCGAAGCAGGTCAGGCATATCAACCTACCTCTAATCTCGCTCCCGCTGCGAGCCAACCACAGCAACCACATCCTGCGGACAGTGGCTTGGTCTCTCCCCTGGAGCCCCAAAATAGGTCCCAGTTTCCTATTCCACTGAGAATCCAGATTCCAAGTGAGCAGGAAGCAGAGCAAACCGCACCTGATGCGCGGAACAGCAATATCACACAGTTTGAGGAAGATGCGAATCCGGCGCAGGATGATGTATTACAGTTCTGGAAACATCCCTCTGGCGGGGCTAGATCAGATGCGCCCATCTATGTACGGGACAAGAGCGGAAACTGGGTTCTTGCTGAATCCGAGCTGGGCGCTGCCCTTAGTCCTCGCGAGCCCAAATCTGCACGCTCCTTGTCATCCAGCACCGGCAGGCCATTGTCAACAAGCAGTAGAACCGGTCTTGCTATCTCGATAGGAACCAGGTCGCACCAGCAGCCGCCAGTTCCAACGGTCACCAAGTCTACCCAGTCCCAGAACGTCACTAGGATCCCCCCTCCAAAGGATCGAAACTACTCCAACCCGCACCAGATCCCCGAGCCTCTCTTCTCGCGCCCCGGGCCGTCCACCGCAAACCCGGCCTTCCGTGTCCGCACCGATCAGGGATCATACTCACACCGGGGCTCCTTCAACGCCTTCGAGACATCCTCGGGCAGCGGCGCCAGCTCCTCGGGCGAGTCCAAGCCGCCGACGCCCCCCGAGAAGTCATCGGGGCTCTCCCCCGTCTTCGAGTCCCCGTTCTCCATGAACCCGGGCCAGCCCGTCCAGGCTCGAGAGCGCTCATCGAGGCTCGCCTCCAACGCCTCCACGGGCATAGCCCCTCAGCCGAGACGCCCCTCCCTGAACGATCCCCCAGGCCAACCCAGCCCGACACTGGGTGACATCTATCACAACCAGCACCCGCAACCCGTCATCCAGCATCCAGCCCAGCAGCGTCCCGCCCAAGTCTCCCACTACACCAACCAACCCCACGGCATCAAGAGACCGTGGCAGAACCCCGCCATGCTGCGGACCGGCTCCCCCCAGCAGCAGACGATGAGGGTGGTCGAGCCCTCCCCCGAGCCCTCCATCCGCACAAGCCGCTCCCTAACCAATTCCAAGAGCCAGCGCTCCCTCTCCAACGCATCCGGGTCCTCCCAGCCGCCACGCTACCTCCCCTCCAACCCAAAGGACAAGGTCACGCCCGGCCCCTCCGCGCCCTACCACCAACCCTTCTTCAGCCAGCAACTCTCCACCTCCCGCTCGTACCGCCAACCTCCCCCGGCAGCAGCAGCGGCGGCGGCAGCAGCAGCAGCAGCAGTACCGTACCCGGGTTTCCCCCCCTCCCGCCAGCACTACTCTTCCCAGCAGCAGCCGCCCTACCCAGCCCGCAACCTCCCCCAGCTCAACACCCAGATCCCCTCAGCCCACTACGGGCCCCCGAGCGCAGGCCAGGCCCAGGCCCAGGCCCAGGACACCCACTCCCTCTCCCCGGGCGGCTCGTCCCTCCTCGCCAAGCGTCTGGGAACCAACCGCGCCGCCCAGATGAGCCTGGGGACGGCCGCCCACCGATCCTCGGTTCAGCAGAGGTGGCACCGCAACGAGCCCAACCCTCCTCAGCAGCCTGCGCCGAGGGAGTCGTCAGCGCCCTCCTTCTCGTCCTGGCTTCCGAGAGTGACCCCAACTCGACGAGGGCACGATTCGTACCATCAAATTCAATAAGATCCACTTCATGGGATTAATTGCCCTACATATGGTTTCTTTTTTCGTTTCTCACTCTCTTTAAGACCTTCTTTACACGGCGTACTGGATCGCATAAGAATAAATAGCATGTGTATGTATAGCTCTTCAGGTTTGCATGTGGAGTTGCAACTCCCCCATGCATGTAAAGTTAAAAATCAAATGAGTCGGACGAATTATGTTTTATTTTTTATTTTCATTTTATTTTTATTGATGTTTTTATTTCATGAGGATAAGAGGATATAGGGCACTGAGAACAAGCGATTTCCCTTTGACCTTCACAAGTTTACCTACACGCTCTCTGGCCACCAGAGTCAGCCAAAAATTCCATTTCTCCATACACCATCCGTGAATCTACTTGTGCCGCACTTGATGTGAGCTGGTGCCTTCAATTTCGTCCTCTTCAAGAACCGTACGGCTACCCAGGTCCCGCTCGTGGAATTGTGAGCCAGCAGTTTGTTCGATGCTTTCTGCTCCACTGCTTAGATTGTCCATTTCTAGCTGATGGGAGTTGTCGCTTCCCTGATCACTGCGACGGAACAGTCTGGAGCGTTTGCCCTTGAGACTCTTGAGGCTCGCCATCCTCAGCAATTCGTGAGCATCCCTCCGAAGCTCGCTCATATGATCATCCAATGCCTCTAGCCCCTCACCAAGCGCGGTCCGGTTACACAGGTGAGCATCTTCATCGATGAGTTTGTTTCTTTTGCGTATCTCTTGCCATCGGCTCATGCTCCCGAATTCCAAGACGTTCATTCGCCGGAGCTCGCTGACTGGGTTCCCCATCATGGTTGATTTCCAAGCCTCATCAGCTTCGAAAATGTCCTGTCCTTCCTCTGTGATTGTCTCAATTTTTGCGATAGATTTCCGACGCGCGTCAACAATCTTCTCCATCTCCTCAGTCTTGGAGTCCGGAATAATCTGCACATTCTTGAATCGAATAAGGACGAGCAAAAGCGACATCGTCAGCAGAAACAAAATTCCCGCCACGATTCCTGAGCTGACCCTTTGACCCAGTGTTCTTGTCATGAGACCACCCAACGCTGTCGAAAACGCAGATAGAATGAAAGCAAACGTATGTATTATGGCGTATCCTGAAGTAACTCGTGGAAAGGATGAGTAGTTGATTCGCTTCCCCATGTTCCCTGATGGGTCTCTCTGGCGGCCCGTCATTCCAGGGCACAGATCAGAGGTGTCAAATGCTTCCATGATGATTCCATTACATTCGGATATTGCGAGAGACGAAAGGAAACCAACACCAAAGGCCAGAATAGTTGGAACACTGACATGAAGAGGAGGCCCCGTTGATGCAGCCGCGTAGCAGCCCCCTGCTACAGGTAATAAAGACGTAAAAACGGCACGTCGGCCAAGATGCGATGTCCATGAAAGCTTTCTGTCCAGAGTTGCCCGGCTGCTGTTGACTCTTGAACCTCGCGATCGAGAGAAAATACTAGCTTTTTGGAAAGGTATAGCTAGTAATGCCCCCAGCGCCACGGAACCAACAAGGAAGCCGACATATGGTGATTGATATCGATATATCTTTGAGGTGAGCGAGCCAAGTAGAATGATGGTCAAAACAATTTGCGCATAGATCCACGCAACGTAAAGAGCCAATATTGCGAACCCAGGCTGGTGTAGCATTTCTAGTGATAGAAGCACCCCGTGGAAGACTTCTTGGCCACACCATTTCGGCCCTGTCCTGACACGATGCATCATCACTTCGCCACGGGCAATACGTCTTGATATATCTGTTTCAGTTCTTACTTCAGTCATTGACCGTCTGTATGCTGATCTTCGGACCTCGGGACAGATGATGTTGAGGATGAGTACCATCGCAATGAGTATAATGCTGACATAGAAGCCCCAGGCTGGAGGTTGTTCGTTTATGATGGCCGCTCCGATTAGGAACCCGACTGCCAAGGATCCAATCCAGCACCAGGTCCAAATTCCTAGCCAGATTCCCATTCCTCCACCATGCCTTCTGGCATCGTAGCGATCGACAACCTCCTCATGTGGGTTCGCGCTCATCAGAGATGCCCCAAACAAATCCGTGAGAATCGAATGAAAGTTCATACTTGCAAAGCCTAGAGACGCACCCATCAGAGCTCTTGAGGCGAGGAGCAAGGCTCTCCAAGACCCCGTGTTAGTTATTCGCTGTGAATCGACAGCCAGAGCTTGGGGAAACAGGAGTGGCATCGCCAGCGCCAGGCTCGTCAAGATATACGGCTTGCGGCCATGCAGAAGCGGCAATGGCCAGCAAAAGAAGGTCGGTATAGCCAGACCCAGAAAGCAGCCCGCGTTTCCAAGTACGGCCAGGTGTGACTCGTCGATAATATAATACTGTATCTTTGGAACCAGGCCAGAGTATATTCCCACGATGAGCCCGACTAGTGCGGTACTGATGCAAGCAACGGCCGCGACAAATCTTTTGCGTACTGGCGACCAATCTCGAGCAATCGATTGCCTTTTGTGTGACCGAGCAAGGCTGAATGGCTGGAGGCCCCGAAGGCTCACATGAGACCTATGATGCAGATTTATCCCATGATCATGGTTCATTTGGCGTCCAGCAACATCTGTTTCCGGCAGGGTGTTATCCCCAGCAAGTTGGTTGCGACCTGGCAAATGATGATCAGGGGGTGTGGTTCTGCGGACAGTGTTGTCCGAAGTTGTTTTTCTATCGTCTCGAGTAAATTCAACTACTTCTATTACGTCGCAAACAGCACCTGACATTGAACATGGGGGCATATGCTCGCGAATGGGAACGTCCTGGTGAGAATTGGCGGGTTGGTGACGGCCTAACGGGGATTTTTTCCAACTTGATCTTCGATTTGGTACAATCAATGATGTCTTTTGGCTTGGTCTGTTTGTAGAGTCTCTCATTGCTGTATTCTCTGCCCTGAGAGGAAACATCTCAATGAGTTCCGTCTCGGACAGCCGCCGACCTCCAGAATTCGAGGCCGCTTCTAGGTTTTTGTAATCATTGCCGAGGCTTTGGGCACGTGGGAGTCGCTCTTGCTCTGGAATCTGTATCCTCTGGTTACAAAACTTTTCAGAATGTTCAACCGCTTGCGACATGACGGCGATGGCCTCGCCAAATAGCCTTTCCAAATCACTCACTGCTTGTGTAAATCCCGCCTCATCAATTCTTGTGCCGGACTTGGCTGATTGAGGTGAGCTTCCAGCCAGTAGGGTATTTCGATCAGATTTCTTTCTCAAAGGCTCGGAAACCCTTCGTCGATTGTGCTCCATCGCCGTTAATTCCGTAGGGGCGCTTTCGTTGGAGCCGCGCTGCCGAAACACCTGTTTAAACCATTGTAGAGCGTTGTGATGACCATTTCTACTTTCTGAAGGGTTGCTTCCTTCTTGACCCGCGCCGCTTTCTCCATTTTCAGAGTCTTGACTATTTCGATGTTTAGCGATGAGGGGGTCTCCGCTCGTAATATTCATGAGTTCGTGATCATCTCCTTGGCAATCAGACAGATCATGCTGATTAGTCTCGATGCTTTTGGCGTCTTCGGAGGGAGCGCATTCCTGGACAGAATGAGCTCCTGCTGCTTGTTCCACAGTTGGGACTGTCGTGCAAATGTCCCATTCATGCTGACGGTTTTCCATAGAGGTAGGGAACACATTGCATTGAAAGACTTCATGTTGAGCTTCGCTGTCTTTTCTGGTAGGGTTTACGAAGTCTGCTTCCTCTCCGTGTTCCTAAGCCACAATGTCAGTCAGTCTCCCATTCTTCATGTGTGCTAAGTCTAGTCTAGCTAGGCTATGCTTATACCTCCATGTATAACGGATTGTCCATCTCCTTTCCAATACCTCTAAAATCACATACCTCTATCAAATGTGCACCAAATTCATTTTCTGTTGGGAAGGTCTCACACTTTTGAATCGAATGTTGCCCCGAGACCCGTTTCGTTTGGGGATTATACTCGCCATTTACAATCCCACACTCGTCTAGAGCATGTTTTGTGCTGTTCAAATTGTTTGGCGTTGATGACTGGTCTTGTTGGTCTATGCGTGTCTCTGTTTCCTCCTAGGTGTTTGAGCTCAAAGGGTCGTCGCCTGTGCCTCTTAACCCCACGACAGGCCTGCCATCATTTTCAATCTCATGAGAGCAACACTGCCCTGATTCTGTGTGGTCGAATGGTCGGACTTTTGAAAGCGATTCGTACTGCCTAATCCCCAAATCTGGGTTGTTCTTGACATTAGACTTCGAGATATTCTCACTCTGCTGGTGTGGGGTCTCAGACTGAGTTGGGAACAGGCGAATTTGACTAGAAGGTATGCTTGAAGTCTCTGAATGCTTGTCAAGCTCAGGGTCAAATGGGCCAACTTTCTCAACAGATCTAGGAGCATCGCTGTGTGCTTTGTCTGCTTCTGGAAATAGAGATACTTGATCGAAGGCAGGGCGAACCTTGACCACTGGGTTGTGGCCTTGTGTCCGGGAGACGGGAACGGGCACTTTAGTGACCGAGATGCTCCCATCAGCTCGGGTCTGATGAATCTCGCCGCTTCGGATGGACACTTGATCTGAAACTGGAGAATCTCTTCCAACTGTGGATGAACGACGCACGGAATCTCGTGTTGAAGCGTTGTCGACGCTTGACTCCGTGTTTCGGGAACGATTTCTGCTGTGCTCTAGAGCTCTCTGTTTCATCTCAGTTAATGGAGGACTCGAAAAATCTCTCTCTAACTTTGGAGTCTGCTGAGGGGCTCCGTGTTTTCCGGGAATCAATGCGGGCGGCGGAGTAGCTGGTGCTTTGATGTGCTGCTCGGCACTAAACGACTGGTTTTCTCTCTCGAGCTTGGGACCATCTATTCTGGCGTGAACGCTCTTCGGGAGGGAGTACGAGCTGAGAATTGGTGGGACAGGCAGGTTTCTGTCTGCAACAAAAGAACCGCCAGTGGCTGTCTTCAAGAGATGGTGTCGATATGAAGTCGAACCTTGGTGAGAAGAAGAAATGGACAATCCTGTATCATCTTCT